TCTCTCCTGACTTTTAGAAAACAGGTGAAAACTTGGCTCTGGAAACTGGCATTTGACGAGTGAGTCAATAACTTGTGGCTATATGGATGGATGGTGATGAACAACGATTTTATTGTGATGATTTGGTTATTATTATTATTATTATTATTATTAACTTTATTTATACCCCGCTAACATCTCCCGAAGGACTCGATGCGGCTTACAAAGGCCAAGGCCGCCAACAAAACAACAACATAACAATACAGCAATAAAACTCATAAAGCAAACAATAAACATCAACACTAAAAATAATGACACCATGACGCATTTAAAACCTAAGTAAAACCTAAGGCCTTATGTAATTATATGATTGTATTTTAATGTATTTTATGTATTAGTGTATTATGTGATGTGATGTTTTAAACTATTGTTATGAATCTTTTGTTGTGAAACGGCCTGAGTCCCTCTTCGGAGGTCAAGAAGACCGGTATATAAAAGTTCTAAATAAATAAATAAATAAATATTCTATGACGGCCTTTCAGTAAAAGCTGCCCACTGATGTTTGATGAGCAGGTTATGCCAAGGACAAACAGCACAAAACGTAAGAGCCCAGAAAGGTGGGTGGTCATCAAACCAGAAAGAGTAATTGGGATTGAATGGGGGAGTAGAAGACAGGGCAAGAACAGCAAAATATTCTGTAGAGGCGGAGAGACGCTGACTGTAATCACACTTTAAATCCGATGGCTGACTCCCGTGGAATGCCAGAATTTGCAATTTGGGGAGGAGCCTTTAAAATTATCAGCCAGAGAAGTCCTAGGTTAAAAAATACAAACTCCAGGATTCTGCAGGAGGTTGCCATAGGATTTCAAGTGGGATAGCAGTGCTTTAAAGTGTCATGTGATGATCTAGTACAGTGGTTCTCAATCTTCCTAATGCCGTGACCCCTTAATACAGTTCCTCATGTGGTGACCCCCAACCATTATTTTCATTGCTTCTTCATAACTGTAATTTTGCTACTGTTATGAATCATAATGTAAATATCTGATATGCAGGCCAAATGTTTTAAACTATCTAATATGCCCAAATTTGAATACTGATGGGGTTGGGGGGATTGATTTTGTCATTTGGGAGTTGTAGTTGCTGGGATTTATAGTTCACCTACAATCAAAGAGAATTCTGAACTCCACCAAAAATGGAAGTGAACCAAACCTGGCACACAGAACTCCCGTGACCAACAAAAAATACTGGAAGAGTTTGGTGGGCATTGACCGTGCATTTTGGAGTTGTAGTTCACCTACATCCAGAGAACACTGTGGACTCAAACAATAATAGATCTGGACCAAATTTGGCACAAATACTCAATATGCCCAAATGTTAACACTGGTAGGGTTTGGGGGAAATAGACTCTGACATTTATTTTTTATTTACATTTATTTACATTATTTCTATCCCGCCCATTTCAGCCCAAAGGCGACTCAGGGCGGTATTTGGAAGTTGCAGATGCTGTGATTTATAGTTCACCTACAATCAAATAGCACACTGAACTCCACCAATGATAGAATTGGGCCAAACTTCCCACACAGAGCCCCCATAACCAACCGAAAATACTGTGTTTTCTGATGGTCTCTGGTGACCCTCTGACACCCCCTCGTGACCCCTCCAGGGGTCCCGGCCCCTAGGTTGAGAAACACTGATCTAGTATGTCAAGTAACACTTGATCAGTACAACAAACAAATACCCAAAGAGCAGTACAAAACTTCAAAATGGGGAGTGGGAGGAGCAATCCATTACAATGGGAAGCCACAACAGATGCTCTTTAAGGAGAATCCCTTGCAGGGAAGTCCCATCTGTTAAGCCACAAAAAGAAAGAAAAAGGGAATGGTTGGTGTAAAACCTATTGTTAGCCCCAACCAGACCAAACCCATGAAATCAACTGGATTTACCTGTAAGTTGACTATCATTCAAAAACTGTTTCCCCAAATTTGTCCCTGTTGGGACTAATCAAGAGAAATCTAAAGAATTGTGACTTGAAAGAAAAAGAGCAGAAAACTGAAAAAAGAAGAAGAAGAAGAAAACCCCAAAATATTTTAAACCATGTGACAGAAAGAGATATATGAAAACAGACCAAGAAACTAAAATGAATGAGATGTGAGAGAATTTTCTTTCCAAGGGATGTGACAGAAGAGGGCAAAAATACTAAAATGAGAGAAAATTCATTTTTTAAAATTTTTTGATAGAGATATTAAAGATGGAGACGCATGAGAAGAATATGGAACTGAAATAAATGAGAGAAAATTCAAAAAAGGGGGTGTGACAATGGGGAAGGCACTAAAATATAGGAGAAAATAGTTTTGAGAGGGACAGAAGGAGATGCATGAGAATGGACCAGGGGAGTAAACAGAAAAATGTCAAACATTTCTATTTTTTGAAAAGGGCATGAAAAAAAGAAGTATATGAAAACAGTGCAGGGAATAAAAATAAATGAGACCTCAAAAATATTTTTGGAGGGAGATATGACAGAAGAAGACATGTAAGAGTGGGGAAGGGACATGATACTTATATTTGAGAGGGGCATGACAGAAGGAGGCACATGAGAAGGGAGAGGGGAAGTAAAACCAATGAAAAAAATTAAAATGAAATCCTGAAATCAAGATGACAAAGGGAGATATGTGTGAAGGAGAAAAAACCTAGAATGAATGAGGAAAATTCCACTTTTAATGATAATAGAGAACAAATATAAATGAGAAATGTTACATATAGAGGGTGGGATGTGATAAAAAAATAAAAAAATAAGATTGATTAAATGAGAGGAACATACCAAGGAGATATGTAAAAAAGGATGAGGAACTAAAATGATTTTTTAAAATATAGATAGGAGACATGATAGCAGGAGATATGCAAGAATGGAGGGAACTCAAATAAATGAGAAAAGGTCACACATATACATATATATTAATATATGATATCATATGTGTATATATTAACATTTCTATATATTTGAGAGGAATGTGGCAGGAGATAAGTAAGAGATAAAGAAGCACAAAACTAAAGGAATTTTTGTTAGTGCCTGGGGCAAGATTTTCACACCTTATTTCATATATTTTACCTTATATGTGCTTATATTAATGTATATGTGTGTGTGTGTGTATGTGTGTGTGTGTATATATATATATATATATATACACACACACACACAGTAGATACGAGATAAAGGGGCAGAAACTAAAGGAAAAAATTAATTTCAAGACCTTATTTGTATATATATTATATGTGTGTGTGTGTATATATATATATATTTGAGAGGGATGTGAGCTAGAGTAGAACGTAAATAAAAAAATAAATTTCAAGATTTTCGTACTTTTTAAATATATCATTTGATATGTGTATATATATATATTGATTTGTGTGTGTGTGTATATATATATATAGAGAGAGGGGGGGACTTGATAGGAGATATGAGATAAAGGAGTAGAAACTAAAGGGAAAAAATTCAAGATTTTCATAACTTATTTTGATATATATCATTTTATATGTGTGTATATATCTTGAATTGTATTTCTATATTAATAAATTATTATGTTATAATATATTATTACATATAATTATTATTATTATTATTATTATGAATTATAATATATATTATTATTATATAGAATAACAATATATAGAATATTATTATTATTATTATATAGAATCATAGAATCCTAGTGTTGGAAGAGACCTGGTGGGCCATCCAATCCAAACCCATTCTGCCAAGAAGCAGGAAAATCGCAGTCAAAGCACCCCCAACAGATGGCCATCCTGCCTCTGCTGAAAAGTGTCCAAAGGAGTAGCCACACACATATATTTGAGAAGGCAGAATGAGAAGCCTCCACAACACACACACATATATATTTGAGAAGGACGCGGCAGAATGAGATGAAGGCGCAGAAACTAAAGGAAAAAATAAATTTCAAGATTTCCGTATCTTATTTTTATAGATATGATATTACACGTCATATACTATCATATAATTTGGCATATAATTTGTATATTGGCAGTGTATCCCTATATTATTGTTAGTAGTATATCATAACCATAACACAATATTAATATTATATATTACATAGTACTATAACATTATACTGTAATATTAGTAATATTACATTTAATAAAAATATCTAATTATAATATCATATTATATTATTAGTAGTAGTACTACATTGTATTACATTATAATATTATCAATATTATATGTATATTATATATACTATATAATTTGGCATATAATTTGTATATTGGCAGTGTATCCCTATATTATTGTTAGTAGTATAACACTAGGTAAATGTAAAGGTAGTCCCCTGACATTAAGTCCAGTCATGTCTGACTCTGGGGTGTGGTGCTTATCTCCATTTCCTAAGCCGAAGAGCCAGCGTTGTCCGTAGACACCTCCAAGGTCATGTGGCCGGCATGACTGCATGGAGCGCCGTTACCTTCCCGCCGGAGCGGTACCTATTGATCTACTCACACTTGCATGTTTTCGAACTGCTAGGTTGGCAGAAGCTAGGGCTGACAGCGGAAGCTCACGCCGCTCCCCGGAATTGAACCTGCGACCTTTCGATCAACAAGCTCAGCAGCTCAGTGCTTTAACCCACTGCGCCACATACTATCATATAAAATATATCATTATAATAGCACAATATTAACATTATATACTACATAGTACTATACTATTATACTATATTATATATTATATTATATAATATAAATTATATTATAATAAATATATATATTATATTATATAGTATATTATATATTATATATTATATATACTATCATATAACTTGGTATATAATTTGTATATTGTCAGTGTATCCCTATATTATTGCTAATAGTAGTAAGAGTATTCCCTACAGGGAAAGAGAGATGTCTACGGAGGCCCTGAAGGGACAAGGGAGGAGGAGTAGGGGGGGCGCGGCCTAGGCCTCTCTGCGGAGCCTGCCTCGATTAGCTCCCCTTTCCCCGCTCGTTCGCTCGCTCACCGTGAGGCCTGTGCCTAGCACGATCACGTCATACTCCTCGTTCATGGCGGCGGCGAAGAGGACCTGCTGGCGGCGGCGCCGAGGAGGAGGAGGAGGTGGAGGAGGGCCGGCGAGGGCTTCGCTTCCTTCGCGGGAGGAGGATGAGGAGGAGCGCAAAATGGAGTCGCTTCTGCCAACGCCGCTGTGAGGAGACCGCGCCAGGGGGGCGGGATTTTGTCCAGGGGGCGTGGCGTGGGCGTGGACTCCCAGGATTGGGGCGGAGCTTCCTGGCGCCTTCACCCTCTCCAGCTGGGGGGCGGGGCTTCGTGGGGTGGGCGGGGCTTGCCGGGACCCTCCTGCCGCCCCAGGCCTCTCCATTGGGCCAAAAAAAATGGGAGGAGCTCGAGGTGGTGTCTGAGCCGCTCCGGCGCCGTCATTGGTCTCCCTGGCGACGTCAATCAACTTTTTGTTTCCTCCCCTCCCTTCTAAGAGACGCTGTCGCTAAGGGGCGGGGCGAAAGGGGGAAGGCCACGCCCCCTCGGCGCCGCTGCCATGCTGGTTGGCTCCTGCTGACGTCAGAGCCTGGGAGATTTGGCGCATGCGCAGAAGCGAGAAGGGACTTGGAAAGGTTGCCTTGCAAAGTTTTTGGTGCATAATGAGGTTCTGAGCTCCAAATAAATACATACACCCTGAACTTCTTATATTTTATTTATTTTTAAATGCATTTCACCTTAAAATATTTGTAATTCTGCAATTATTAATGTTTGCAATTTATTAATTATTAATTAAAAATTAATAATTATTAATTTTGCAATTATTAATTTTTGCAATTTTCTGGAATTTTTTCCCTATAAAAGTCTTTGGCGCATACATATATAATTATAAATATATAAATTGTGGGAAAGGGTGTCTTGCAAAATCTTTGGCGCATGAATATGTAATTATATAATTATAAATTATAAACATATAAATTGTATTATAAATATATAAATATATTTATAATGTAATTTATAAATGTATAAATTATAAATATAATTATAAATATATAATTATAAAAAAATGTTTCAGAGTTTTAAAAATATACACCCTGAACTTCTTATATTTTATTTATTTTTAAATGCATTTAACCTTAACATACTTGTAATTCTGCAATGATTATTTTTGCAATTTTAAACATAATTCTGGATTTTTTCCCCTATATTTTGTTTATTTTTAAATGCATTTTATTTTATTTTATTTATTTAAATGTATTTAACCTGTAGATCCTTTATCCAGGATCTAATCCTGGATGAGCGGGCAGATCTGGCGTGCATCACGGAGACCTGGCTGGATGAAGCTGGAGGAGTGAATCTAACCCAGCTTTGTCCTCCAGGCTTCTCCGTGCAGCACCAACCGAGATCCGGAGGTCGGGGAGGCGGGGTCGCAGTGGTCTATAGAGATTCCATCCATCTGACCAGGTGCCCCATCCCGCAGACCACAAATTTTGAATGCGTCCACCTGAGGGTGGGTGACCGGGACAGAATAGGGATTCTGTTAGTGTACCGTCCACCTCGCTGCACTACAGTCTCCCTACCTGAGCTAGCGGGGGTAGTCTCGAGCCTGGCGTTGGAGTCTCAACGGCTTCTCGTGCTGGGAGACTTCAATATCCATGCCGAGGCGACCCTCACAGGAGCGGCTCAGGACTTCATGTCTGCCATGGCAACCATGGGGCTGTCCCAACAAATATCTGGCCCCACCCACTGTGCTGGACATACATTGGACTTGGTTTTCTGCCAGGGATGGGAGCAGGGTGGCGGTGTGGAGGAGTTGTCCATCTCTCCGTTGCCATGGACTGACCACTTCCTGATCAGATTTAGGCTCACTGCGCCCCTAACCTCTGCAAAGGTGGAGGACCCATTAAGATGGTCCGCCCCAGGAGGCTTATGGATCCGAATGGATTCCTGACGGCTCTTGGGGATTTTCCCGCCACCTCGGTAGGTGACCATGTCGAGGCCTTGGTCGCTCTCTGGAATGGGGAGATGGCCAGGGCAATTGACATGATCGCTCCGGAACGTCCCCTCTCAAGTAAGGTGGGTTAAGGTGGTGGTTAATGCTTCCCTTCGGGAAGGCAAGATTCCAGCGAGCTTAAAACAAGCTATAATAAAACCGCTGTTGAAGAAACCATCACTGGACCCCACTAAATTCGACAACTATCGGCCAGTTTCCAATCTCCCCTTCTTGGGCAAAGTCTTGGAACGTGTGGTGGCCTCACAACTCCAGGTATTCTTGGTAGACACGGATTATCTAGACCCGGCACAGTCTGGCTTTAGGCCGGGACATGGTACCGAGACAGCCTTGGTCGCCTTAGTGGATGATCTGCGCCGGGAGCTCGACAGGGGGAGTGTGTCCCTGTTGGTGCTGCTGGACCTCTCAGCGGCCTTCGATACCGTCGACCACGGTATCCTTCTGGGACGCCTCGCGGGATGGGTCTTGGAGGTACTGTTTTGCAGTGGCTCCGGTCATTCCTGGAGGGTCGATCTCAGAAGGTGTTGTTGGGGGACACCTGTTCAACCCCACAACCATTGTCTTGTGGGGTTCCTCAGGGCTCAATATTGTCTCCCATGTTGTTTAACATCTACATGAAGCCGCTGGGGGAGATCATCCGGAGTTTCGGGGTACGGTGTCATCTGTACGCGGATGATGTCCAACTCTGTCACTCCTTTCCACCTGCTACTAAGGAGGCTGTCCAGGTCCTGAACCGGTGCTTGGCCGCTGTGACGGTCTGGATGAGGGCGAACAAATTGAAATTGAATCCAGACAAGACAGAGGTCCTCCTGGTCAGTCGCAAGGCCGAACAGGGCATAGGGTTACAGCCTGTGTTGGATGGGGCCGCACTCCCCCTGAAGACGCAGGTTCGCAGCTTGGGTGTGACCCTGGACTCATCGCTGAGCCTGGAACCCCAGGTTTCGGTGGTGACCAGGGGAGCATTTGCACAGCTAAAGCTTGTGCGCCAGCTGCGCCCGTACCTTGGGAAGTCTGACTTGGCCACGGTAGTCCACGCTCTGGTTACATCCCGTTTAGACTACTGCAACGCTCTCTACGTGGGGTTGCCTTTGAAGACAGCTTGGAAGCTCCAACTAGTCCAACGCTCGGCAGCCATGATTTTAACAGGAGCGGAGCGCAGGGAGCATACAACCCCCTGTTGCGCCAACTCCACTGGCTGCCGATTTGCTACCGGGCTCAATTCAAGGTGCTGACGTTGGCCTATAAAGCCTTAAACGGTTCTGGCCCAAGCTACCTATCTAACTGCATCTCTGCCTATGAACCTACCAGGACTTTGAGATCTTCCGGGGAGGCCCTGCTCTCGATCCCGCCTGCTTCTCAAGCACGGCTGGCGGGGACGAGAGATAGGGCCTTCTCGGTGGTGGCTCCTCGGCTGTGGAACGCCTTCCTACGGACATTAGACTAGCACCATCTCTAATGGTATTCCGCAAAAAGGTGAAGACCTGGATGTTTGTGCAGGCGTTTGAGTAATTTAGTGCAATCTGGTAATGGAATATAGGAATGGAACAATGGACGACGAACCTGGACTACGCTTGGATGATGAGAAGATTGGGTACAGTTGTTTTTCATAATAATTGTGCATTGTAATTGCTTATTGGTAATTTATGGATAATGTGTTAAGTCAATTTTTATATGTTGTATGGAACCACTGCTGTTTCTACTGTTTTTACTGTTTGTGAACCGCTGTGAGTCGCCTTCGGGCTTGAGATACAGCGGTATATAAGCAAAGTAAATAAATAAATAAATAAATAAATAAGTAGCCGAGCTAAACCAGCTCCTTGGTTTACTGAGGAGCTGGCAGTGATGAAGCGAAGAGGGAACTAGAGAGCGTGTGGCGTTCGGATCCGAGCGAGTCAAATCGAGCACGGTTTGTGTCCTTTCTAAGGGCATATGCCGCGGCAATAAAAGCCGCAAAGAAAACTTTCTTTGCGGCCACTATTGCGTCTGCAAGGAACCGTCCAGCGGAGTTGTTCCGGATTGTTAGAGGTCTTTTAACTCCCGCCACCTCAGGCGGGAGCCCTGACAATTCGGCCACGCGCTGCGAAGCATTTGCTCGGTTCTTTGCAGACAAAGTCGCCTTGATCCGTTCTGGTCTGGACACCATGTTAAATGCAGTCTCTGAGGATGTGACACGAGCACCGGCTTGTCCCATTTTGATGGATTCTTTTCAGTTTGTGAAGCCCGAGGATGTGGACAAGATACTTGGAGGAATGAGGCCCACCACGTCCATCCTAGACCCCTGCCCATCCTGGCTTCTGAAGGAGGCCAGAGGGGGATTGGCTGAGTGGGTAACAATGGTGGTTAATGCCTCCCTTCGGGAAGGCAAGATTCCAGCGAGCTTAAAACAAGCTATTATAAAACCGCTGTTGAAGAAACCATCATTGGACCCCACTAAATTTGACAACTTTCGGCCTGTTTCCAATCTCCCCTTTTTGGGCAAAGTCATGGAAAGCGTGGTGGCCTCACAACTCCAGGTATTCTTGAGAGACACGGATTATCTGGATCCGGCACAGTCTGGTTTCAGACCGGGACATGGACTGAGACGGTCTTGGTCGCCTTAGTGGATGATCTGCGCCGGGAGCTAGACAGGGGGAGTGTGTCCCTGTTGGTGCTCCTGGACCTCTCAGCGGCCTTCGATACCGTCGACCACGGTATCCTTCTGGGGCGCCTTGCGGGAATGGGTCTCGGGGGCACTGTGCTGCAGTGGCTCCAGTCATTTCTGGAAGGCCGCACCCAGAAGGTGTCATTGGGGGACACCTGTTCAACACCACAGCCTTTGACCTGTGGGGTTCCACAGGGCTCTATACTGTCCCCCATGCTGTTTAACATCTACATGAAGCCGCTGGGTGAGATCATCCGGAGTTTCGGGGTGCGGTGTCATCTGTACGCAGATGATGTCCAACTCTGTCACTCCTTTCCACCTGCTACTAAGGAGGCTGTCGAGGTCCTGAACCGGTGCCTGGCCGCTGTAACGGTCTGGATGAGGGCGAACAAACTGAAATTAAATCCAGACAAGACAGAGGTACTCCTGGTCAGTCGCAAGGCCGAACAGGGTATAGGGTTACAGCCTGTGCTGGATGGGGTCGCACTCCCCTTGAAGGCGCAGGTTCGCAGCTTGGGTGTGATCCTGGATTCATCGCTGAGCCTGGATCCCCAGGTTTCAGCGGTGACCAGGGGAGCATTTGCACAGCTTAGGCTCGTGCGCCAGCTGTGCCCGTACCTTGGGAAGTCTGACTTGGCCACGGTGGTACACGCTCTGGTCACATCCCGCCTTGACTACTGCAACGCTCTCTATGAAGACGGCCCGGAAGCTTCAGCTAGTCCAGCGCGCGGCAGCCATGTTACTAACAGGAGCGGGACGCAGGGAGCACACAACGCCCTTGTTGTTCCAGCTCCACTGGCTGCGATCTGCTACCGGGCCCAATTTAAGGTGCTGGTGTTGTCCTACAAAGCCCTAAACGGTTCCGGCCCAAAATACCTTTCTGACCGCATCTCGGCCTATGAGCCCACGAGGGCCTTGAGATCATCTGGGGAGGCCCTTCTCTCGATCCTGCCTGCCTCACAGGCACGTCTGGCGGGGACGAGAGATAGGGCCTTCTCGGTGGTGGCCCCCCGGCTGTGGAACACCCTCCCTGTAGACATCAGACAGGCGCCCTCCCTTATGTCATTCCGCAAGAGCCTAAAGACATGGTTATTTGAGAAGGCGTTTAACTAAGTGCTACAACAATTGGCAATGACGACTGGAACGGAATACGGATTACGAGATTGGTTTACGATTCTATGATGAGACGGCGCGGATGATTTAGTGTAATTATATTATTGTTATACATTGATAGTTATGTTGATATTTTGTTGTGTTACTTATTGTAAACTGTTTTTACATGTTGTACACCACCGTGAGTCGCCCTAGGGCTGAGAACGGCGGTCAACAAATGAAGTAAATAAATAAATAAATAAATAGTGGTTATTTTTGCAATTTTAAACATAATTCTGGATTTTTTCCCCTATATTTTGTTTATTTTTAAATGCATTTAACCTTAACATATTTTGTAATTCTGCAATGATTATTTTTGCAATTTTAACAATAATTCCGGAATTTTTTTCTTATATTTTATTTATTTTTAAATGCATTTAACTTTAACCCATTTGTAATTCTGCAATGATTATTTTTCCCTATAATGGCTAATCTCTTGGAACTCCCATCTGATCCCAAGGCTTTCCTCTAAACCTACCCTGCAACAACATCTATGATAGAACTCCAGTATGCTGATGACAACGTCGTCTGTGTGCATTCAGAAGAAGACTTACAAGCTGCTCTAAACACCTTCACAGAAGCATACGAGCAGCTCGGCTTGTCATTAAACATCGGGAAAACCAAAGTGCTCTTCCAGCAGTCACCAGCCAATCCCTCTCCAATGCCAGAGATACAGCTTAATGGTGTAACATTAGGAAACGTGGACCATTTCCGCTCCCTTGGCAGCCACCTCTCCACCAACATCGACACTGAAATACAACACCGCCTGAGCTCTGCGAGTGCAGCGTTTGTCTCAATGAAGCAGAGAGTGTTTAAGGACCGGAACATCTGTAGGGAGACCAAGGTGCTTGTTTATGAAGCTGTTGTCCTCCCAACCCTGATATACGCTTGCGAGACGTGGACAGTATACAGACATCAACATTGACACTGAAATACAACACCGCCTGAGCTCTGTGAGTGCAGCATTTGTCCCAATGAAGCAGAGAGTGTTTGAGGACTGGGACATCCGTAGGGATACCAAGGGGCTTGTCTATAAAGCTATTGTCCTCCCAACCCTGCTATATGCCTGCAAAATGTGAACTGTCTACAGACGTCACATGCAACTCCTGGAACGATTCCGTCAGCGCTGCCTCCGGAAAATCCTGCAAATCTCTTGGGAAGACAAGCGGACAAATGTCAGCATGCTGGAAGAAGTAAAGACCACCAACACTGAAGCATTGGTCTTCCGCCATCAACTCCGCTGGACCGGCCACATTGTCCAGAGGCCCGACCACCGTCTCCCAAAGCAGTTGCTCTACTCCGAACTCAAGAACGGAAAACGGAATGTTGGTGGACAGGAAAAGAGATTTAAAGATGGGCTCAAAGCCAACGTTAAAAACTCTGGCATAGACACTGAGAACTGGGAAGCCCTGGCCCTTGAGCGCTCCAGCTGGAGGTCAGCTGTGACCAGCAGTGCTGCAGAATTTGAAGAGGCACGAATGGAGGGTGAAAGAGAGAAATGTGCCAAGAGGAAGGTGCGTCAAGCCAACCCCGACCGGGACGCCTTCCACCTGGAAACCAACGTCCTCACTGTGGGAGAAGATGCAGGTCAAGAATAGGGCTCCACAGTCACCTATGGACCCACCGCCAGAACACCTACCTTGGAGGACCATCATCCTCGGACTACGAGGGATTGCCCAAGTAAGTAAATAAGTACCCTACAATGTCAAAGAAAACCAAATAAGCCGCCTCCATCTCAGAAGAGATCCTGCTGGACACGGATCTCCCGCCTTTCAATGAGCTGCGCCCTGAAAGTAAACCTTTCGCTCACGGTGTGAAATGAAGCAGGGATGCTGTTTGCGATTCACAACCGGAGCAGGAGAAATCATTATTACAAGCAAATCAAATTTTCTGCTCCCTAATGGAAGGCTTAAGGAAGCAGAAAGCTTTCGCCGTTCCGGTTGACCGAAAGGGAAAGTCCGAGCGAGACAGGCCTGGAGGACGGGTCCCTCTGTGACAGATGCAAACCATGGAGCGGACGTAAAGCCTTCCTAAGTACTTTGGCTGCTGAGTCTGCGGAAAGGGTGATCCCTTGCACACATAAAAACACACTTCGTAGTCGCATCGCATTTTTCATAGGGATGCTTGCCTGGGCCTGCCGAATCAGTCTTCAGCGACTCAAAGCGGCTGGATGAATTAACTGGATTGTGTTCTGCCAAGATTTAGGAGGAAGAGAGGAGAATAAAATCGCATGCATTGTTCGGCTTCGTGATTTAAGTTTGGAAGGATTTAATTAAAATATTAATTCAACAGTGTTAGGAATTGTGGGAATTAAAGTTTACCCATGCCTACTATATGCTGGAGCACTGGTGGTGCAGCGGGTTAAACCACTAAGCTGCTGGACTTGCTGACTGAAAGGTCAGTGGTTCGAATCCGGGGAGCGGGTGAGCTCCCGCTATTAGCCCCAGCTTCTGCCAACTTAGCAGTTCGAAAACATGCAAATGTGAGTATGTTGTAGTTCAGCCCATGACTGTGTCTGATGTTCATGATGGTAATGGGGTTAATGGTCTGTCGGTACTGGGGATGAGACTTAAGCCCAGGCGAGAGGCCCAAGGTGTCTTATGAATGGAGTGTTTCTCCTGCAGATTCATAAGGTCACATTCCTGGGAAGGGCCCTTAACATTCTTTCTCTGAGAAACAGCTGTCTTCTGGGGATGATTTTTCAAGTGCAGAATTAAATGAGATTGATGATAGAAAGCAAGGCTTTTGTAAACAGCGACAAAGTTCTCAGGCGCAACAAAGGTCAATTCAATTGCAGGAAATGAAAGGTAAGAAATCCTATCTGGTTGTATGGGCAAAAGAAATGTTTTCCTTTCGATTCTGGGGTCAGGAAAAGCTTTATATTGATACAAGGGAAAGACTTAGGTCAGTCTCATCAACATTAGAACTTCATGACAGTCTTGCTTCCAAGTGTTCCTAGTTTCATGTTCCAAGTTTTTGCCAGGCTCCTGATCTCTGTATTGGATTTTCTTGCTGCCTTGTTCTATGGATTTTATGTCTTTGGATCTTGTGTTTTACCTAAAACAGTGGATCTGGCTCTTAATGAGACATGCCGCATTATCACGGGGTGTCTGCACCCTACACCACTGGAGAAACTACACTGTTAGCCGGTATTGCACCACCTGACATCCGCCGGGAAGTAGCAGCCAATAGTGAAAGGACCCAAGGCAGAGACATCTCCAGCTCATCCCTTGTTTGGGCATCAGCCAGCAAGTCAACGACTTAAATCTAGAAATAGTTTTCTAAGATCTACAGAGACACTCCCTGGAACACCTCAGCAGATGAGAGTCCAAAAGTGGCAGGCTCAAACCCAGTACCTCAATCAATGGCTGATACCAATGAGAGACTCCCTCCTGGGCACACAGAAGACTGGGCGACTTGGAAGGCACTGAACAGACTGCGCTCTGGCACCACAAGATGCAGAGCCAACCTTAATAAATGGGGCCACAAAGTGGAGTCCACAACATGCGAGTGTGGAGAAGAGCAAACCACAGACCACCTGCTGCAATGCAACCTGAGCCCTGCACATGCACAATGGAGGACCTTCTTGAGGCAACAACAGAGGCACTCCAAGGAGCCAGATACTGGTCAAAGGACATTTAATCAACTACCAAGCTTGCAAACTTTGTGTTTTGTCTGTCTGTCTGTCTGTTTGTTTGTTTGTTTGCTTTGTTAAAAATGTGATACAAATGTCTGGTTGCTCCTGACACAATAAATAAATAAATAAATAAATAAATAAACAAACAAATAAAATTGTGTTTTACCTTTGTGCCTTGAAGCTCATGGACTATCTTTCATCTTAGGACTATTCCGTTTTTACCATGTTTACTACTTTGCTTATATATATTCTTCAATCAACGACTTGCTGATTATACCCAAGTGGTGTGATGTTTAATGATATAGACGTTCCTGCTCTGGAATACAACAGAGTAGATCAATAGGTACCGTTGCGACGGGGAAGTCTCCATGCAGTCATGCTGGCCACATGCCCTTGGAGGTGTCTATGGACAATGCCGGCTCTTCGGCTTAGAAATGGAGATGAGCACCACTCCCCAGAGTCAGACACGACTGGACTTAATGTCGAGGGGAAACCTTTCCCTTTAGTATATATTCTTTCTGGCAGTTTTGGCATTCTGAGCAGCCCCTGGGGGGTCTCCAGAATGTTGGCTTCTGAACTCACTAAACTTATCCAACTCTGCTTTATCAAACAAGCAAATGTCTTTATTTTCCCACCTCTCTTTTTTGGCACAAGACCCAAGGTGGACACCATCACCAACTCAAAAAAGTCTTCCAACAGGACTGAATGTTTGCTCCAGAAAGGTTTTTCAATCCTCAAGGCAGGGAATGGATAGGACTTGCAGGGAAGCAGACCCCTAGGCAAGTATAAATATTCCCCATAAATTGGCAGCAAAAATAGGAGATGCTGGAAAGAAAGTTCCCTGTTCTCTTTGCCATAAATGCAGGTTTTCATGCGCTCACACTTGTCTTCTCGAAAAGCTGGAGGAGGCTCGGCTTCCTGGCCACCTGCCAGGCGTGTGTTCCAGAGAAGTCTGGCGAATCTTGCAGTCCCGCCTCGAGGAGAACGTGCGCACACGAGGTATGCTGCCCAGCGCACGCCATATGCAGGGCTGTGGGAGGAAGCAGGCAGAAGAACAACAACAACACCACACTAAGGGGCCTTTTCACGCTGCACAATGACAATGACAGCATTATGAGTCCAGCTTAATCCTATGGAATCCTCAGATTTGTAGTTGAATGAGTTGCTAGAACTCACTGAGAACTGTGAGGGCTCCTGGGTAAACTACAAATCTCAGGAGGATATGAAAGAGTCCTAAAGCTGAAGGGGTTAACATCAGCTCTACATATTTGTTTTGATATTACTGTTGTTGCTGTTGGGTTGCTGTGAGTTTTTCGGGCTGTATGGCATTCTTTCCTGATGTTTTGCCTGCATCTGTGGCAAGCATTATCAGAGGTTTGTGCAGAGGTTTGAAGTGAGGCAAGTGGAGTGTGTGTGTGCGTATCTATCTATAAAAATAAAAATATAATGTTTGTTTGTGGGATTAACATAACTCAAAAACCACTGGACAAATTGCCATCACATTTGGCCACAAGGCACCTACTAACCCAAGGAGTGACCATCACTCAAAAAATTGATTTTGTCATTTGGGAGTTGTAGTTGCTGGGATTTATAGCTCACCAACAATCAAAGAGCATTCTGAACTTGACCAACAATAGAATTGATCCAAACTTGGCACACAGGACTCCCATGACCAACGGAAAACACTAGAAGGGTTTGATGGGCATTGGGCTTGAGTTTGGGAGTTGTAGTTCACCTACATCCAGAGAGCACTGTGGACTCAAACAATGATGGATCTGGACCAAACTTGGCAGGAGTATTCCATATGCCCAAATATGAATACAGATGGATTTTGGGGGAAACAGACCTTGACATTTGGGAGTTGTAGTTACTGGGAGTTATAGTTCAGCTATAATCAAAGAGCATTCTGAACTCCACAAATGACAGAATTGGGGCAAACTTCCCACACAGAACCCCCTTGACCAAAAGAAAAAACTTAAGGCCATTCAGTCCAACTCCCTTCACCAGGGCAAGAAAACGTAATCAAAGCCCTCCTGACAAAGAGCCACCCAGCCATAGATAGATATAGATAGATATGATTCACACATACATATATAGTATCATAGATTTGAAAGGGACCCCTAAAGAAGGACAATTCTATGTTGCATGTTCCAGAGTAGGCAAACCCGACAATCTCCACATCAACACTGACAAAGAAACAGCAAGAAGTGCTGTTTCCCCACAAGCATAAAGAAATTACATATATTAGAAACCAACACTTTCTCATTACTTTATTTTCCAGATCGCGAGACTGGGCCACAGCAACGTCTGTGTGTGTGTGTGTGTATCTGTGGAATGTCCAGGGATTGGAGAATGAACCCTTGTTTGTTTGAGGCAAGTATAAGTGTTGCATTTAGCAAGCCTGATATATACACTCCACTTGCCTCATTTCCAACAGACCTCTGAACAAACCTTTGAGGATGCAGAGGAAACATCAGGAAAGAATGCTACTGGAGCATGGCCATACAGCCTGAAAAATTTACAACAACCCAGTGATCCCGGCCATGGGAGCCTTCGACAACACGTTGTTGTTGTTGTTCCATTAATATGGGCGAGGGTCTTACTTTACTTGTAGCTTAGGGAGGCATGAAAGCTCTCTGGCTGAGAATTCTGCCCCGGAGTGTGGTGGAGGCTCCTTCTTTGGAAGCTTTTAAACAGAGGCTGGATGGCCATCTGTCAGGGGTGATTTGAATGCAATATTCCTGCTTCTTGGCAGAATGGGGTTGGACTGGATGGCCCATGAGGTCTCTTCCAACTCTTTGATTCTATGACTCTATGATTCTGAATACCTTACAAAACTACAAATCCCTGGATTCCATAGGAAGGAGCCATGACTAGGGTCAAAGTGCTATAATAGTGTGGTGTAGGTTGAAAGAAATGCCTTCTGCAATATAATTAAACAGGAGAGGGTGTGAGAGAATATTTATTTACCTGTTCGATCTTTCCCATCTTTAGCGTTCACATCAGCACCGAGGGAGAGAAGGGTCTGGATGGTGTTTGCGTGCCCTTCCTGCATTATAAAGAGGAAAACACAACGTCCACATTCAGCAGAACAGGCCCTCTTTTCTCATACTCTAGTCTAGCGTTCCCTTCTGGATGTGGTGGATTTAGAGGAATAATATGCCTAGAAATGTAGGGATCACTGCTCCGACCTGATATTTTAAAGTTATTTTTAGAATATCCATGGATTCTGTACCCACAAATTCAACCACCCAAGGCTTGACCATTTTCATAAAAACCTCCAAAATCCAAACCCTGGTTTTGCCGTTTTATATTAAGGAACACCAATTTGCTATGCCATTGTTTACAATGGGATTTGGGCATCCCATTATAAGATTTCACTATCCACACAGGATCTTGGAACGAAACATAGTGAATGCAGTTCCCGCCCTTTACAGAATGTAAAATGCATATAGATATAACTTGTTTTGGCATAAATATTATAACATTTGATGCATTGCAATTACAGTTTACTCAGAATATAATTACAACATGAATTTAGGTTTAAAAAAATATTTTTTTCATTCCCAGATGCCATAGATGCAGGTGAAACATCAGGAGAAAATGCCTCTAGAACATGGCCATATAACCCGGAAAAACCTACAACAACCCAGTGATTCCGGCCATGAAAGCCTTCGACAATACAATCAGTATTATATATTACTAGCCGTCCCTGCCACGCGTTGCTGTGGCCCACATGGGGGTTCTGTGTGAGAGCTTTGGCCCAATTCTATCGTTGGTGGGATTCAGAATGCTCTGTGATTGTAGGTGAACTATAAATCCCAGCAACTACAACTCCCAAATGTCAAGATTCTATTTTCCCCAAACTCCACCAGTGTTCACATTTGGGCATATTGAGTATTCGTGTCGAGTTTATTTATTTATTTATTTATTTACTCTATTTGTATACCGCATATATCAGCCTGAGGCGGCGACTCAATGCGGTTTTTTAGGGGCCATGCTAATCTTCTCTGTATCGTTCCAATTTTTAGTATATGTGCTGCCGAAGCGAGTTTGGTCCAGAACCATCACTGTCTGAGTCCACAGTGATCTCTGGATGTAGGTGAACTACAACTCCAAAACCAAAGGACACTGCCCACCAAACCCTTCCAGTATTTTCTGTTGGTCATGGGAGAACTGTGTGCCAAGTTTGGTTCAATTCCATCATTGGTGGGGTTGAGAATGCTCTTTGATTGTAGGTGAACTATAAATCCCAGCAACTACAACTCCCAAACAACAAAATCAATCCCCCCCCAACTCCACCAGTATTCAAATTTAGGCGTCCCTTTCAAATCTATGAGACTATGTCTGTGTGTATGAATCATATCTATCTATATCTGTGGCTGGATGGTTCTTTGTCAGGAGGGCTTTGATTACGTTTTCTTGCCCTGGTGTAGGGAGTTGGACTGGATGGCCCTAAATATTTTTTGTTGGTCATGGGGGATCTGTGTGGGAAGCTTGCCCCAATTCTGTCATTGGTGGGGTACAGAATACTCTGATTGTAGGTGAACTATAAATCCTAGTAACTACAATTCCCAAATGTCAAGGTCTATTTCCCCCAAACTCCACCAGTGTCCATATTTGGGCATATGGAATATTTGTGCCAAGTTTGGTCCAGATCGATCATTGTTTGAGTCCACAGTGCTCTCTGGATGTAGATGAACTACAACTCCCAAACTCAAGTTCAAATCCTTCTAGTGTTTTCCGTTGGTCATGGGAGTTCTGTGTGCCAAGTTTGGTTCAATTCCATCGTTGGTGGGGTTCAGAATAATCTTTGATTATAGGTGAACTATAAATCCCAGCAACTACAACTCCCAAATGACAAAAATCAATTTTTTTTTTAGTGAAGGACATACATTGGGTTGTTAGGTGTCTTGTGTCCAAATTTGTTGTCAATTCATCCAGTGGTTTTTGAGTTTTGCTCATCCCACAAACTAATATTACGTTTTTATTTATATAGATTTCAAAATGCAGTGCTCCAGAATCCATTTATGTTCCTGGTTTAAAAGCATTATTTCCTGTTTAATTGTGCAGTCCTTACTTTGAAAGTAGTTATTATACTCCAGAAACTTTGTTTTTGTGGCTGCCACAAACTAGGATTGAATTGGTTGAGACTCACGGAAAAACTATAGCAAAATGTGCTGCAGGCTATCCTGCCCGCAAAAACAAGCTCTTTGCAGCTTAATAAACCTTTTCCATGTGTTTATGATAGAACCAATTACGAAATGACATTTATAACCCAAAAATCATGTTACGTAGTGCAATCAAAGCAATGTCAGACATCAAGGCAACAAGGTGGTGATCTTTCTGTGCCCAAAGCCCTGAGAATACTCTTAATGATCGGAGTGGAATATCCTGAGCTGGATGCCCTGAATGTTGGGTTCAGCAGAAATCCCATTTCAGGTGATGGATGACTCTTGCTGGCTGTTCGGTTTAATGCCCCGATTTATCTTGCCGCAAGCTGTTGAAGGCATATTGAAAGGATCAAAGCCCATTAAGATAAAACGCTGACTTCCTTGATGTAAATCTAGGGAGGCTGAGCCAGGCAAGAAAGCGGTGGCACCATGCAAGCCGGTGCTGACTCTCCTAGAAAGAACACAGTGAATTTAAACCAAATTCTCTAGCAGGCATGGGCCAACTTGGGCCCTCCAGGTGTTTTGGACTTTAAAATACTTTTAAAGTTATTGGACCAGACTGTGGTGCAACTAGTTAGTAGCCAGCTGCATTAAATCACTACTGACCGAGAGGTCATGAGTTTGAAGCCAGCCCAGGTCAGAGTAAGCTCTCAACAATTAATAGTCTAGCTTGCTGTTGACCTATGCAGCCGAAAAGACAGTTGCATCTGTTGTTAAGTAGTGTTGGAGTTCAGCCTGTGATTGTGTCTAATGATTAGGGTACTCTGGATGTTGGAAGTGACAATGAGGTTCATGTGTCTAATGATGAGGTTACTCTAGATAATAATAATTATCTTCTTCTTCTTCTTCTTCTTCTTCTTCTTCTTCTTCTTCTATATTATAAAAATGCTCTGTGCATAATGAGTACCTTAAAAACAAAAGAACTAGGACTAAAGAACCAGACTCATATATGAATTTGTTCCCTGAGTATTGTTGTTGTTGTTCATTCGTTCAGTCGTCTCCGACTCTTCGTGACCTCATGGACCAGCCCACGCCAGAGCTCCCTGTCGGCCGTCACCACCCCCCGCTCCTTCAAGGTCAGTCCAGTCACTTCAAGGATGCCATCCATCCATCTTGCCCTTGGTCGGCCCCTCTTCCTTTTGCCTTCCACTTTCCCCAGCATAATTGTCTTCTCTAGGCTTTGCTGTCTCCTCATGATGTGGCCAAAGGACTTCAACTTTGTCTAGTCTCTTTCCCTCCAGTGAGCAGCCGGGCTTTATTTCCTGGAGGATGGACTGGTTGGATCTTCTCGCAGTCCAAGGCACTCTCAGAACTTTCCTCCAACACCACAGCTCAAAAGCATCTCTCTTCCTTCGCTCAGCCTTCCCTAAGGTCCAGCTCTCACATCCGTAGGTGACTACAGGGAATACCATGGCTTTGACTAGGCGGATCTTTGTTGCCAGTCTGAGGTCTCTACTCTTTACTATTTTATCGAGACTGGACATTGCTCCAGCAAAGGATCACTGCCTTGTTGTGGCACTGGAGCTTGAGCACCTCAATGATGTCATGAGCGAAACCGTGAAGGGCCACCCAAGACGGGACGGTCGTGGCAGAGAGGTCAGACCAAGCGTGATCCCTGGGGAAGGCAATGGCAAACCACCCCAGTATTTTTGCCAAGAAAACTAAATGGACCAGTACAGGGAGTGACCATCACTCAAAAAATTACGATTTTGTCATTTGGGAGTTGTAGTTGCTGGGATTTATAGTTCACCTACAATCAAAGAGCATTCTGAACTCCACCAACGATGGAATTGAACCAAACGTGGCATACAGGACTCCCTTGACCACAGAAAACACTAGAAGGGTTTGGTGCGCATTGACCTTGAGTTTTGGAGTTGTAGTTCACCTACATCTAGAGAGCACTGTGGACTGAAACAATGACGGATCTGGACCAAACTTGGCATGAATACTCAATATGCCCAAATATAAACACAGATGGAGTTGGGGGGAAATAGACCTTGACATTTGGGAGTTGTAGTTACTGGGATTCATTGTTCACCTACAATCACGGAGCATTCCGAACCCCACCAACGATGGAATTGGGCCAAACATCCCACATAGAACCCCCATGGCCAACAGAAAATACTGTGTTTTTTGGTGGTCTTTGGTGAGCCTTCTGACACCCCCCTGGTGACCCTCCCCTGGGTCTTCCCAGGTTGAGAAATGCTGTCATAAGGCCATCAAGTCCAACTGCCTGCACCAGGGCAAGAAAACATAATTAAAGCCCTCCTGACAAAGGGCCACCCAGCCATTCACACACACACACACATGTATATGACAGATGCAGTATCAAAGATCTGAAGGGGCCCCTAAAGAAGGACAGTGATATGTTGCATGTTCCAGAGTAGGCAGTTAATGGTGCCGAGTTGTTTTCAAGCACCAAATCCTGGGAACTCCCTAGAGCAGGGGTAGGGAACCTTCGGCCCTCCAGGTGTGGTGGACTTCAACTCCCACAATTCCTTGAGGCTCGGCATTCGCCCCAAAGGCTTACACGAGCCTCAAGGAATTGTGGGAGTTGAAGTCCACCACACCTGGAGGGCCGAAGGTTCCCTACCCCTGCCCTAGAGGCAATTCCGGGAGTAACTCATCATCCCTATACCCTGTAGGAACATTCTCATGGGAAACTACACTTGGAATAAGTTCTTCTCTGTCATTCTCTGAATCAATATCACAGACCAAACCATTGACATCTTTAACCTCATTTATATCATTCCCCACATCCAAAGCACCCTGATCCTGAAACACAATCACAGGCTGAACTCCAACATCCACCTGGTCTAAAAAACAGATGGGAAAGAATGCAGGAGGCCCAACAACATCTGGATTTCCACATCTGGAGATGAAGTTCACCAACATCCAGCCAAGTGAACAATTCTGCGCTGGTCTAATAAGGTTCCAAACAGAAGCCTATGAACCTCTAACTAAGAACCATACCAAGGATGTCTTCAGTATTATCTAAAGAGGAACCCTTAGTGTCCAGAGGAATAGACTTAGCAAAGGAATGCATAGCTAAGCGTGTTTCTTTATCATACTACCTGTTAGGAATTCCTCATTTTCGGAAGAGGAAGGGGAGGAGGGAAGTGCTCAGGAATTGGAGGGAGAAGGAGAATCAGACGATGAGGTTTTACTAGTGCCCACATTTCTAGAGAGATGAAAGGAGACAGAGCATAGATGGTGTTCAGCTAGAATAGCTGCTAGAAACGTTGAGCTAATTGGGAGACGTCCTAGCACCTACTGCATGGGGAATTCAGGGCTAAAAATCAGAAGCAGGAGCAGTCAGCTTTTACTGGTAACAACGACTCTGATGCTGATGTTTTCACTCCAATTGAACTTGCTTTGTGTCTGCTGTTAAGGACTTAGTGATCATTGCCTGTTGTCTGATGGAAGACTGCTGTTTCTTTTGGGACTTTGTAAGAGACTTTAATTTGTATGTGCATTAAGACTTCCTCGCTTTCTTTTGCATTTTTCAACTGATATCCTTTGTGTTTGGTGAAGTAAAGCATTTTTCTTTTACTTTCAGCATTGTATTAAGGCTGTTTTTGAAGGGCAACTCAGGACACTACCTCTTGATAGAAAGGAAGCCACAGGGAGGAGGGAGCAAGCTTGTTTTCTGATTCCTTGGAGATTAGGACGCAATGGAACAATGGCTTCAAACTACAAGAGAGGAGATTTCATCTGAACATGAGGAAGAACTTCCTGACTGTAAGAGTTGTTCAGCAGTGGAACTCTCTGCCCCAGAGTGTGGTGGAGGCTCCTTCTTTGGAAGCTTTTAAACAGAGGCTGTATGGCCATCTGTCAGGGGTGATTTGAATGCAATATTCCTGCTTCTTGGCAGAATGGGGTTGGACTGAATGGCCCATGAGGTCTCTTCCAACTCTTTGATTCTATGATTCTATGATTCTAATTAGTTGGAAGAGACTCCAAGAGCCATCCAATCCAACCTTCTTCTGTGATGCAAGAAGACACAACCAAAGCACTCTCATCAGATGGCCATCCAGCCTCTGCTTAAAAGCCTCCGAAGGAAGAGACTCTGCCACACTATTGTAAGGTGGCTCTCTAGGGCTGAGAGAGTGTGACTTGCCCAAAGTAGAGCAGAGAATCCAGAGTGATAATCCAATGCTCAAATGTCTATACAATCTGATATGTTGCCTGCACAAAAAGATTCACATTAAATCGTTCAGCTAGTTTCTCCCTGCCTGAAATGGGACTAATACATTGTGCAGAGAGTGAGTGAGAGAAGCTCAAGGCAGTAGCTTTTTTTACAGCTCAGATCGAAGTTATTTGAAGGATCGTAATCTCCCCTTTTTGCTTCCTTGGGGGAAAATGTGCCAGGAAAAAAGCGCTAAGGACCGAACAGCAGATGCTGTGTTACTTCTTCCATGGCTTGACAGCCCGCTTGATCAAACGGCATAATTTGATTTTCAAATGAAGACACGGCAGGAATAGCGCTCGCTGCTGGAAAGCCCTCAAGCAATGAGCAACCCTGGCTGCTGCTTTTGCCAAGTGCCTTCCTTTTGTGCATTTTGCACAGCTTTGCCTTCCTTTTGCAACGCAGGGGAGGTAACCTTAGCAACTGAAAAAGCGCACAAATGGGGAAATCTGGGGAAAGGGCTTCGATATTATCCAAAAGCGCAGCTTGCTTTTGCCATTTTATAGAAGACACGTGACTTTATTATGCCATTGTAGATTTATTTATTTATCATGTCAGTTGTGTTGCATTTTTAACAAACAAACAAAACACAAAGTTTGCGAGTTTGGTAGTTGATTAAATGTCCTTTGACCAGTATCTGGCCACTTGGAGTGCTTCTGGTGTTGCTGCAAGAAGGTCCTCCATTGTGCATGTAGCAGGGCTCAGGTTGCATTGCAGCAGGTGGTCTGTGGTTTGCTCTTCTCCACACTCGCATGTCGTGGATTCCACTTTTTGGCCCCATTTCTTGAGTTGGCTCTGCATCTCGTGGTGCCAGAGCGCAGTCTGTTTAGTGCCTTCCAAGTTGCCCAGTCTTCTGTGTGCCCAGGGGGGTCTCTCATTTGGTATCAGCCATTGATTGAGGTTCTGGGTTTGAGCCTGCCACTTTTGAACTCTCGCTTGCTGGGGTGTTCCAGCGAGTGTCTCTGTAGATCTTAGAAAACTATTTCTTGATTTAAGTCGTTGACGTGCTGGCTGATACCAAACAGGGGATGAGCTGGAGATGTCACTGCCTTGGTCCTTTCACTATTGGCTGCTACTTCCCGCCGGATGTCAGGTGGTGCAATACTGGCTAAGCAGTGTAATTTCTCCAGTGGTGTAGGGCGCAGACACCCCGTGATAATGCGGCATGTCTCATTAAGAGCCACATCCACTGTTTTAGTGTGGTGAGATGTGTTCCACACTGGGCATGCAGACTCAGCAGCAGAGTAGCACAGCGCAAGGGCAGATGTCTTCACTGTGTCTGGTTGTGATCCCCAGGTTGAATATTACATTGAATATTACTTTTGGACTCTCGCTTGCTGAGGTGTTCCAGCGAGTGTCTCTGTAGATCTTAGAAAACTATTTCTTGATTTAAGTCGTTGGAGTGCTGGCTGATATCTAAACAAGGGATGAGGTGGAGATGTCACTGCCTTGGTCCTTTCACTATTGGTTGCTAGCTTATGCGGGAGACAAATTTAACTAATTTACGAGGCCATAAAAATCTCCAGCAAGCATGCAAAGAATGAGGAAGTACTTCATCAGTGTCACAAATGGTCGGTGAAGGGACAGCTCCCCTGGTGGCCAGAATACCCTCATGAAAAGCTGGAATGTTAAATTGCCTCTGTGTCTGTCTATATATGTTGTGTGTCTATGGCATTGAATGTTTGCCACGTATATGTACATTGTAATTTGTCCCGAGTCGCCTGCGGGGTGAAAAGGGCAAAATATAAATACTGTAGATAAATAAATAAAAGCTCACTTTGTGAAGACTGTGTGTTGATCAGTTGTGCACTGACCTCCACACATTTAACAAACTCACGCACAGGCGTCTTCCAAAGAAAATAAAAACAAACCAAAGAAAGTCCCATGGCGATCAGCGAGTGGCGACGGGTAGAACTGTGAAATCTGGAAGCCCCTAGTCACAGACTGGCACATGGGCGGTGGGTACGGACTCAGCCGTTCTACCTCAAGGTCCGAGAGAGCTGAGCAGTTCAGCAGTCCTTTTGAGGATCCACTCTGCTCACCCCACATGGGGAAGAAAGGGGCTAGAAAAGCTGCCCTAAACATAGTCTGCCTCTCTTATCCCTGACTGGACTGCTGTGTCCAGTGGGGTCACCACCCCATGTTCAACAAATGACCAGCCACTGCCAGAAGGGACAGAGAGTTTCATCTATGCTGATGATCGTGCCATTACCACTCAAGCAGGGAGCTTTGAGATGGTAGAACAGAAGCTCTCCGAAGCTCTAGGTGCTCTTACTGCCTATTACAGGGAAAACCAACTGATCCCTAATCCATCTAAAACACAGACATGCGCCTTTCACCTTAAGAACAGACAAGCATCCCGAGCTCTGAGGATCACCTGGGAAGGAATCCCACTGGAGCATTGCAGCGCACCCAAATACCTGGGAGTCACTCTGGACCGTGCTCTGACCTACAAGAAGCACTGCCTGAACATCAAGCAAAAAGTGGGCGCTAGAAACAACATCATACGAAAGCTGACTGGCACAACCTGGGGATCACAACCAGACACAGTGAAGACATCTGCCCTTGCGCTATGCTACTCTGCTGCTGAGTATTCATGCCCAGTGTGGAACACATCTCACCACACTAAAACAGTGGATGTGGCTCTTAATGAGACATGCCGCATTATCACGGGGTGTCTGCGCCCTACACCACTGGAGAAATTACACTGCTTAGCCAGTATTGCACCACCTGACATCCGCCGGGAAGTAGCAGCCAATAGTGAAAGGACCAAGGCAGAGACATCTCCAGCTCATCCCCTGTTTGGGTATCAGCCAGCACGTCAACGACTTAAATCAAGACATAGTTTTCTTAGATCTACAGAGACACTCGCTGGAACACCCCAGCAAGCGAGAGTCCAAAAGTGGCAGGCTCAAACCCAGAACCTCAATTCATGGGTGATACCAGATGAGAGACTCCCCCCTGGGCACACAGAAGACTAGGAGTCTTGGAAGGCGCTGAACAGACTGCGCTCTGGCACCACGAGATGCAGAGCCAATCTTAAGAAATGGGGCACAAAGTGGAATCCACGACATGCGAGTGTGGAGAAGAGCCAACCACTGACCACCTGCTGCAATGCACCTGAGCCCTGCCACATGCACAATGGAGGACCTTCTTGCGGCAACACCAGAGGCACTCCAAGTGGCCAGATACTGGTCAAAGGACATTTAACCAACTACCAAGCTTGCAAAATCTGTGTTTGTGTGTGTTTTTTTTTTCTTTTTTTCTTTTCTGTTTTTTTTTCTTTTTTTTCTTTTTCTTTTTAATCTGTGTGTTTGTTTTGCTCTGTTAGAATTGTAATACAATGGTATGGTTGCTGATGACACGATAAATAAACCACTCTGTGGCCAAAAAAGAAAAATGAACTTTGGAACCTGGAACGTACGGACACTGATGGACAACACTGACAGTGAAACGTGCAAAGAGGAAGGTGTATCAAGCCAATCCCGACCGGGACCGCCTTCCACCTGGAAACCAATGCCCTCACTATGGGAGAACATGTAGATCAAGAATAGGGCTCCACAGTCACTTATGTACCCACTGCCAGGACACCAATTTTAGAAGACAATCCTACTCAGACAACAAGGAATCACCTAAGTAAAAGTAAGTAAAGTACTCCTCAGTCTAATGTTTGTTGTACTAGGTTCAGTATTTTATTTATCGTGTCAGAAGCAAGTTAATGGTACAGTTAATATGTATTTAAAAACACAAACAAGTTTAAAAACCTGGTATATTAAATGTCCTTTGACCAGAAGCTGGCCACTTGGAGTGCCTCTGGTGTCGCTGTGTGAAGGTCCTCCATTGTGCATGTTGCAGGGCTCAGGTTGCATTACAGCAGGTGGTCAGTGGTTTGCTCTTCTCCACACTCGCATGTCACGGACTTCACTTTGTGGCCCCATTTCTTAAGGTTGGTTCTGCATCTCGTGGTGCCAGAGCGCAGCCTGTTCAGCGCTTTCCAGGTGGCCCAATCTTCTGTGTACCCAGGAGTGAATTTTTCATCCTGTCTCAGCCATGGCTTGAGGCTCTCGGTTTTAGCCTGCTACTTTTGGATTCTCGCTTGCTGAGGTGTTCCTGCAAGTATCTCTCTCAATCTTAGGAAGCTGTTTCTTGATTAAAGACATTGGCATGCTGGCTGATATCCGAACCGAGGATGGGCCGGAGATGTCACTGCCTTGGTCCTTTCATTATTGGCTGCTACTTCCCGACAGGTATCAGGTGGTGCAATATCAGTTAAACAGTATAATTTCTCCAGTGGTGTGGGGCGTAAACATCCTGTAATAATTCAGTATATCTCATAAAGAGAATCAGCTGGTTTTCTCGATAATAGGCAGTAAGAGATATTGACAAGCTGGAATGTGTCCAGAGGAGGGTGACTAAAATGATCAAGGGTCTGGAGAACAAGCCCTATGAGGAGTGCCTTAAGGAGCTGGGCATGTTTAGCCTGAAGAAGAGAAGGCTGAGAGGAGATATGATAGCCATGTATAAATATGTGAGAGGAAGCCACAGGGAGGAGGGAGCAAGCTTGTTTTCTGCTTCCCTGGAGACTAGGACGCGGAACAATGGCTTCAAACTACAAGAGAGGAGATTCCATCTGAACATGAGGAAGAACTTCCTGACTGTGAGAGCCGTTCAGCAGTGGAACTCTCTGCCCTGGAGTGTGGTGGAGGCTCCTTCTTTGGAGCTTTTAAACAGAGGCTGGATGGCCATCTGTCAGGGGTGATTTGAATGCAATATTCCTGCTTCTTGGCAGAATGGGGTTGGACTGGATGGCCCAGGAGGTCTCTTCCAACTCTTTGATTCTAGGATTCTAAGAGCATCTAAAACTTTGGAACACTTCTGTTCAACCATTTCAATGAGTACAATTCAAAGTGCTGGTGTTGTTCTATAAAGCCCTAAACGACTCTGGCCCAATTTACCTGTCCGAACGGATTCTCTCCTATGAACCATCAAGGTTATTAAGATCTTCTGGAGGGACCCTGCTCTCGGTCCCACCATCTTTGCAATTGCGTCTGGTGGGGACGAGGGACAGGGCCTTCCCGGTGGTGGTCCCTCGGCTCTGGAACTCTCTCCCACTGGAGATTAGAACTGCCCTTCTCTCCTGACTTTTAGAAAGCTGGTGAAAACTTGGCTCTGGAATTTAGCATTTGATGAGTGAGTCAATAACTCTTGACCACACGGACGGATGGTGATGAATTGTGATTTCATTCTGACGACTTGGCCTTATGTAATTATATGATTGTATTTTAATGTATTTTATGTATTATGTATTAGTGTATTCTTTTATTTTTGTTGTTCATTCGTTCAGTCGTCTCCGACTCTTCGTGACCTCATGGACCAGCCCACGCCAGAGCTCCCTGTCGGCCGTCACCACCCCCAGCTCCTTCAAGGTCAGTCCAGTCACTTCAAGGATGCCATCCATCCATCTTGCCCTTGGTCGTCCCCTCTTCCTTTTGCCTTCCACTTTCCCCAGCATCATTGTCTTCTCTAGGCTTTCTGTCTTCTCATGATGTGGCCAAAGTACTTCAACTTTGTCTCTAGTATCCTTCCCTCCAGTGAGCAGTCGGGCTTTATTTCCTGGAGGATGGACTGGTTGGATCTTCTCGCAGTCCAAGGCACTCTCAGAACTTTCCTCCAACACCACAGTTCAAAAGCATCGATCTTCCTTCGCTCAGCCTTCCCTAAGGTCCAGCTCTCACATCCGTAGGTTACTACAGGGAAGACCATGGCTTTGACTAGGCGGATCTTTGTTGCCAGTCTGATGTCTCTACTCTTTACTATTTTGTCGAGACTGGACATTGCTCTCCTCCCAAGAAGGAAGCGTCTTCTGATTTCCTGGCCACAGTCTGCATCTGCAGTCATCTTTGCACCTAGAAATACAAAGTCTGTCACGGCCTCCACGTTTTCTCCCTCTATTTTCCAGTTGTCAATCATTCTTGTTGCCATAATCTTGGGTTTTTTTGATGTTTAGCTGCAACCCGGCTTTTGCGCTTTCTTCTTTCACCTTGATTAGAAGGCTCCTCAGCTCCTCCTCGCTTTCGGCCATCAGAGTGGTGTCATCTGCATATCTGAGGTTGTTAATGTTTCTTCCAGCAATTTTCACCCCCGCTTTGCATTCATCAAGCCCCGCACATCGCATGATGTGTTCTGCATACAAGTTAAAAAGGTTGGGTGAGAGTATGCAGCCTTGCTGGACATCTTTCCCAATCTTGAACCAGTCTCCTGTTCCGTGGTCAGTTCTGACTGTTGCTCCTTGGTCCTTGGACAGATTCCTCAGGAGAGAGGGAAGGGGGCTTGGGATGCCCATCCCACCAAGAACTTGCCACAATTTATTATGATCCACACAGTCAAAGGCTTTATAATAGTCAATGAAGCAGAAGTAGACTGAGTCCCTCTGCGGATGAGAAGAGTTCTATATATAAAAGTTCTAAATAAATAAATAATAAACGGTTGCTGCTTGGGTGGTGATGACACGATCGTCAGCATAGATGAAACTCTCTCCCCCTTCTGGCAGTAGCTGGTCGTTTGTGTAAATGTTAAAAATTGATGGAGTAAGCACCCCTGAGGCAGGCCATTCTTCTGTTTCCGCCATCTGCTTCTCTGGCCGTGGAACTCAACAAAAAAGCTCCTGTTTTGTAACAGATTTCCTATGAAGCAGGTGAGGTGGTAGTCCTTTGTGACATTATGAATTTTTCTCAGTAGAAAGTGATGATTTACAGTATCATAAGCTGCTAACAGGTCTATGAAGACAGCTCCTGTAATCTGCTGTCTAGGTTCAGAAAGCTACACTTTGGGAGTGTGGTTTCCTGAATTGGATGTGCATAACAGGCAGGCTTGTTTTTGCAAAATTGGACAGAGGAGTGTTTGTGCATTTCCCTCTATAACTCTCCATAAGGGCTCTCTATGGATGTGCTTTTCTTGAAAGCTTGGGATCCTAGCCAGATAAGATCCCACACTGGCACTGTGCACTGCAGCATGCCTAAAATCCCATGAAATCCAGAAAAACTGGAAGTTTCACAAACAAATTTATGAGCAGGGTTACAACTATCCCTTTCTTTTACTCTGATTCACTCTGAGGATTGAATATTTATCCTCCATCAGGGCATCTGAGGACATGAAATGCTAAAATGGATCTCTTAGTATTAAAAATGCAAAAAGATTATTATTATTATTATTATTATCATTATCATTATCATCACTATTATTATTCATGATTTTGACAGTTTCATGGTTGATGTAACTAATTGTGTTAGAAATATTAAAAATTAACTGGGTGTTTTTAATTACTAAAATGTGAGCCAAGCACTGAAAGGCTTAAACGAATGCAATGTCTCAGTGTGTCTGTAGCTTAGTAGCCCTCAGGCTGTGAGAGGTCTCTGTGGAAAAAGAGCCTTATAATAATAATAATAATAATAATAATAATAATAATAATAATAATAATAATTCATTTATTTATACCCCGCCACCATCTCCCCCGACGGGGACTCGGGGCAGCTTACATGAGGCCAAGCCCAAACAACATATTACAGCAAAATAAAACCAAAACATAAACAACAAGCAATAACATCATAATTACATAAAAACAAATGAATACATTAGTGTGTGAGTAGGCCTCAGTATGAGTAGGCCTCAGTGTTAGTTTGCCTCAGTATATGAGAAGCATTCGTTTGAGAGAGCCCTCACTGTGAGGTAGGCCTCAGTGGGAGAAAGGCCTTGGTGTGAGAGAGGCCTCAGTGTGAGTAGGCCTCAGTGTTAGTTTGCCTCAGTATATGAGAATCATCAGTCTGACAGGGCCCTCAGTGTGAGGGAGGCCTCAGTGTGAGAAAGGCCTTGGTGTGAGAGAGGCCTCAGTGTGAGTAGGCCTCAGTGTTAGTTTGCCTCAGTATATGAGAATCTTCAGTCTGACAGGGCCCTCAGTGTGAGGTAGGCCTCAGTGGGAGAAAGGCCTTGGTGTGAGAGAGGCCTCAGTGTTAGTAGGCCTCAGTGTTAGTTTGCCTCAGTATATGAGAATCATCAGTCTGACAGGGCCCTCAGTGTGAGGGAGGCCTCAGTGTGAGAAAGCCCTTGGTGTGAGAGAGGCCTCAGTGTGAGTAGGCCTCAGTGTTAGTTTGCCTCAGTATATGAGAATCATCAGTCTGACAGGGCCCTCAGTGTGAGGGAGGCCTCAGTGTGAGAAAGGCCTTGGTGTGAGAGAGGCCTCAGTGTGAGTAGGCCTCAGTGTTAGTTTGCCCCAGTATATGAGAATCTTCAGTCTGACAGGGCCCTCAGTGTGAGGTAGGTGTGAAGGCTATTGTGTGTAAAAAGCTACTGTGTGAAGCTCCTGTGTAACTTCGGTGTGAGAGAAGGCTCTGTGAGAGCAAAGCTGTTTATCTGCATGAGAAAGACGCTTAGCGTGGAAGCAAACAAGGAAGTATAAAGAAATTTGTTTGTGTTTTCCAAACCTTGTTTTTTGTAAATAGTGCAACCATATTATTTTGCTATAAAGAAAAGACTCCTATGGAAGATGTAACATTAGATGGCGACAGAAATAGATTACACAATGCCAGATGTATGGTCATGAATAAATGCAGCCTGGTTGAAATGGCGGCAAACTACTGGCATTCTGTGTGACTAAAAAAAAATATGTCTGAACAACACAAGGCTAAATTCTACACTACAGTTATTCGCCCAGTAATCCTTTATGGGGCAGAGTGCTAGCCAGCAACAAAGACACACGAACAAGCCTTTAACACAATGGAAATGAAAATGCTGAGATGGAGACTTGGCCTGACAATTCTTGACCAGGTGCCAAATGATGACATCTGTCAAAGACTAGGAATAAAAGAGATCAGCAAGAAAATGCAGGAAGCAAGTCTACGGTAGTACGGCCATGCCATGAGAAGAGAACCAACATCAGCAGCAGAAACAACACTGCATTTGGAGATTGCAGGACAGCGACCACATGGACAAAGGCCAAAGAAAAGATGGATAGACACCATCAACGTAGACATGCGTGCTGCCATTACTGCCCCGCCCACTTTGGGAATCACTGAGCTATACCTTGGCTGCATAATGAAGTGCAGTGAGCTGTAGGGAAGTGGCCCTTGCGTTGACATCAACACCGAGGTCAGAAACAAGGAACCGAAGGGCATCGTCTTGCGCTGTGACCGCTGCTTGGTGCAGTGGTTGAGCCCCGAGGGCATCCTTACTGTTGTGATCAGCCTGGAAGGTGACAGGAAACACTATTATTATTATTACTTACTTACTTACTTAGGCGATCGCTTGTAGCTCAAGGATGATTGTCTTCCAAGTGTAGGGTCTTGGTAGTGGGTCCGTAGGTGACTGCGGAGCCCTATTCTTGACCTGCATCTTCTCCCACAGTGAGAACATCGGCTTCCAGGTGGAAGGTGGTCCCAGTCAGGGTTGGCTTGACGCGTCTTCCTCTTGGCACATTTCTCTGTTTCGCCCTCCATTCGTGCCTCTTCAAATTCTACAGCACTGCTGGTCACAGCTGATCTCCAGTTAGAGTGCTCAAAGGCCAAGGCTTCCCAGTTCCCAGTTCTTGGTGTCTATGTCACAGTTGTTAAGGTTGGTTTTAAGCCCATCTTTAAATTCCTTTTCCTGTTCACAAACATTACGTTCTCTGTTCTTGAGTTGGGATTATAGTAACTGCTTTGGGAGGCGGTGATTGGGCATTTGGACAACGTGGCCTTCAGTCAGGCGGAGTTGATGGTGTAGGAGCATCGCTTCAATGCTGGTGGTCTTTGTTTCTTCCAGCACGCTGACATTTGTCTGTCTTCCCAAGAGATTAGCAGAATTGCTTCGCATCCATTCTGCTGTCACCTGGGATTGCAACATCGATGATCCACACTTTGTTTTTTTCTATGATCATGGGGTCAAGAGTCTTGTGCTCCAAAACTCTGTCAGTCTGAATTCGGAAGTCCCAGAGCAGTTAGATGTGTTCATTTTCTGCAACTTTTTCAGGCTTGTGATCCCACCAGTTTTTTGTCACAGGCAGATGGTATTTTTGGCATAAGTTCCAATGGATCATCTGAGCAACAGTATTATGCCTCTGCTTATAGTCCGTCTGCGCAATCTTGCAACAGCTGAGGTTGTGGTCTATTGTTTCACCTGCTTCCTTGCAGAGTCTACACTTGGGATGTGTCATCGACTTTTCAATTCTGGCTTTGATGGCCTTGGTTCTAATGGCTTGTTCTTGGGCTGCCAGAGTCAGGCCCTCCTTTGTCTCCTTTTTCAAAGTTCCATTTGTGAACCACATCCATGTTTTCTCCTTGTCAATTTTGCTCTCAATTTTCCCCAGGAATTGTCCATGGAGAGCCTTCTTTGGAGAGTTTTCTCTTCTGCTCTGCATTGTATTTTTACAGTATTTACTCTTAAAGCAGTTTTTTTTTACTATTTTCTACTATTATTTGCACTTAAAGCAGTTTTCTACTATTGACTTCCATCCATGTTGGTTCTTGACTGCCTTTCCCATCATCTGCTAGTGCGTGTTTCTCTTCTTCTTCTACCGTTTGTTTCCCTTGCAGAAGCCCTCTTCTCTCTGCCTCCTGATTTTCTGGGCAGGTCAAGTCTGTCGACATCAGTACACGGGTGGAATGAGTAGTGGATTGTCATCAGTTTTCTTGTTTTTCTGTCCAGATCACCCAGCTCTGCTTGTGTCCAGTTCACAATTCCATAATAATAATAATAATAATAATAGTGTAGTGGTTATATTAGGCATGGTCAAAATTGGGCCTTCTAGGTGTTTTGGATTTCAACTCCCACAATTCCTAACAGCCGGTATTATTATTACTATTATTATTCTTATGCTCCTCTGAGCCTCTGAGGAAGGCAAGAGCAAACTCCTCTGAACCAATTCTTCCAAGAAAACCCTGTGAAAAGTTTGCTATAGGGTTGGCATAAGTCAGAAATGACCAGAAGGTACACAATAACAATTTCACAACAGGATATTTCTGAGAAAACACACCAAAAATCCACAGAAAAAATGATATATACTGGCATCCCTCATGACCGCACCATCCATGCTCACCTTATGTTTCTCTAGAAGCAGCCGGGCGATATCAAGGTGACCGTTTTGTACGGCATCCATAAAGGGAGTAACTCCACATTTGTCCGCACTGTCTGGTTCATAGTGGCACCTTGGAATAAACAGAGGGAAGGAGAGGTTAGTACAAAAATCAAATGCCAGACCCACAATACACAACTAGCTTCATTGGTATGTACTACCAGGGGCAGAGTTGACACCATAATGCCCCATTGCTGCTTGAATTCTACCTGCGTGGGTAGCTTTGAATATCAGCATTATGGCAAATCCACTCTGAGTTTTAGTATGACTTTCAAGCTGTTCAAGGTACCAGACCTATTCTCTGTTTTGTCCCACCCTGGTCAGAACAGCACAACAACAGAGAGGAAACAAACAAGAACATCTAATCATCTCTCAACAAAAGATTGCTCCAGGCACTGTCAGGCCATCAAATGCTAATCAAGGTGGTCAGTTGGAACATTCACACCTAGCTCTAGCAGACAAAACTCCTTTGTCCCACCCTGGACATTCCACAGATATATAAACCCTTTTCTTAGTTCCAACAGACCTCACTACCTCTGAGGATGCTTGCCATAGATGCAGGCGGAACATCAGGAGAGAATGCCTCTAGAACATGGCCATATAGCCCGAAAAAACCTACAACAACCCAGAATACATTTTGAACTCCACTAATGATGGAATTGAACCAAACTTGGCACACAGAACTCCCATAACCAAGAGAAAATACTGGAAGGGTTTGGTGGGCATTGATCTTGAGTTTGGGAGTTGTAGTTCACCTACAAACAGAGAGCACTGTGGATTGAAATAATGATAGATCTGGACCAAACTTGGCATGAATACTCAATATGTCCAAATGTGAACACTGATGGAGTTTGGGGAAAATAGACCTTGAAATTTGGGAGTTGTAGTTGCTGGGATTTATAGTTCACCTATAAACAAAGAACATTCTGAACCCCACCAACGAAGAAATTGGGCCAAACTTCCTGCACAGAATCCCCATGACCAACAGACCATACTGTGTTTTCTGATGGTCTTTGGTGGCCCTTCTGACACTCCCCTCGCGATCTGCCTTGGGGTCCCGACCCCCAGGTTGAGAAACGCTGATTTAGCGGTTAGGATAAACCCTGATGTGAATTCACCACCCGAATAAAATGACAATCGCTGTGAAATGACAAACAGCTGTGTAACAGAGATAATTCTTGTCACTCCCACACTGCATGAACATCACCGTATTTCTTCAATCCTAAGATACACTTTTCCCCCTAGATAAGTATCTCTAAATATTTATTTATTTACAGAATTTATATTCTACCCATCTCACCTCGAAGAGGACTCAGAGCAGACCACAGAACACATATACTGCAAACATTCAATGCCGTTAGACACTGACAAGACAAACAATTGTACATAGATAGAGGTATATATAGGCTTTCCCATTCCGGCATCATGGAGGCCGTGCTCGGTTCTGGGTATTGGGAGGGGGTGCTGTCACTCCATCTTCCTTGCCAAAACGTTTTGCTTGTAAACTTCCTCCTTGATTGAATTGTGGGCATTTTTCTGGCATTTCCTTATGGGTGCCTTAAAGACCTCCCCACTTAAGCAGTACCTATTTATCTACTCACATTGCTCTTTTCGAAACTGCTAGGTAGGTAGAAGCTGGGCTAAAGGCCAGGAGCTCACCCTGACCCAGGCTTTGAACTGTCAAGCTTTTGGTTGGCAAGATCTACTGCTGAGAATCACAGGGGTATCTTATGTACTTTTGGTGGTGGTGTTGGTACTGAAATTCAGAGTGGTCCTCTTTCAGGAGTGCTTTAGTGATGTATTTCGCTGCATAGGGTTTTGATTAAACAGCCCTTTTCCTTCCAGCTTTAATATTCTATGATGACACTTATTTTAAAATTTACACCAAATCAGAACAGGCAAAGCAATGATCATGTCTTCTTAAAAAGAATAACAAATTATTATGCCTAAGAGAGAAGAACGGGGGAAGAAACGCAGGGGGGGGGGGGAGAGGGCTGAGCCATTGAGGAAAGAAGAGCAAAGTTTGCCTACCTTTCAAGTAGTACTTTCACAACTTCCAGGCATCCATGCATCGCTATGGGATGAGAGCAGAAGTGAATAAGTATACATGCTTTTGAAGTGCATGACACAGAAAGACAGGGGAGAAAAGGGGATGCTTTTGCTTTCGTTAGTTCCATTTTCAATACTGTTTTGACCACAAATGAACATTTCCATCATTGTCATTCACATCTGCAATAATCATGGGCCCTGTACATTCCACATTTTGATTTCTCCATACTTTAAAACAAGCCTGGGCAAACTTGGACCTCCAGGTGTTTTGGACTGCAACTCCCACAATTCCTAACAGCCGGTAGGGCACCTGGAGGGCAGCCCCAATTTAGCCTATGCCTGCTTTAAAAGATTTAGAGGTTGAAGTGACTCTGCTTAAAAACCTCAAGAAAAGGAGATTTCAATAGACTCCCAGGGATCACATTCTAGTGTTGGACCAGGCTGTGGCACAGCTGGTTGGGAGGCAGCTGCATTAAAATCACTACTGACCAAAAGGTCATGCGGTCAAAGCTAGCCCGGGTCAGAGTAAGCTCCCGACCATTTGTCTAGCTTCCTGTCAACCTTTGCAGCCCGAAAGACAGTTGCATTTGTCAAGTAGGAAATTTAGGTACCGCTTTATGTGGGGCGGCTAATTTAACTAATTTACGACGCCATAAAAATCTCCAGCAAGCATACAAAGAATGAGGAAGTAC